CTGATGAGGAACTTTCTGTGGTCTGGCCGAGCTGAAAAAATGAGACATCATCTAATTTCTTGGGATAGAGTCCGACTGCCCAAAGCCCAAGGTGGTTTAGGCATCAGGGATATAAGAAAACATAATTTGGCTTTGTTGGGGAAGTGGTGGCGGAGATTGGCCGCCCAACCAAACTCTTTATGGGCACAAGTTATTCGGAATAAATATAACATTCCGGATCACACTTGGGTACCTGAAAGGCCCTCACGAAGCAGGGCTTCAGGAGTTTGGAAATCTCCAGCCTTCTCTCCTGCTCAGTTCAAGAAAGCGCTTTGTTTTCATCCAAAACAAGGAAACAGAGTTCGCTTCTGGTCTAATCTGTGGATAGGACATGCTCCCTTAGGGATCTGTTTCCTAACCTGTTTCAACTTGCTTCCAATATAAAGTCTAGTATTGCAAATAAAATGGTCCTGGCAGGGGCGCGTAGAACTTGGAATCCTACTTTTCGAAGGAATCTATTTGAAGAGGAAACATTGGCTTTCACCACTCTATCGGCTGCTCTTCACCCGGTGTTCTAACCGTCATCAGGGAGTGATTCTTTGGTTTGGACACTTTCTCCATCTGATAAGTTTTCAGTAGCTTCTTTCTATAAGAAACTTATCCAGCCCCTACTTTTCCTTTAAATCCCATCTCTCCTCTCTCCAAAGTGTGGAACACAATAGCCCGTCCAAAAGTTCAGTCTTTCAATTGGATAGCCGGCTGTCATCGGGCCCTCACACTTGATCAGCTCCAAAAAAGAGGTCTGCCACTCCCCAACAGATGTATAATGTGCCTGAAAGAGGAGGAGTCCAACCCCCACCTCTTTCTACAATGCAGTGTGGCTTTTAAGCTTTGGACACTGATTCTAGACTTATTTAGTCTCAAATGGGTCCTTCCTCATTTGGTAAAAGAATTATTTCTCCATTTTTCAGGTGGTCCTTGGCCCAAAGCAGGTAGAACCTTGCGTAGGGCAGCAATCGCTGCTACTGTATGGGTTTTATGGCTAGAAAGAAATGAGAGGGTCTTTCAAGGACACAGAAATGAAGTCTCAGGGCTGTTTTAGAAGGTGTTTCATAAGGTTACATCACTCGTAATTTTTTGGGCTTCCACCCACAGTTTCTTTGGTGGGATTCCTATGAGCTCTTTCCTCAGACAATTGGACAATATTATCCAATTCCTGCCTTTCAAGCAACAACGACCTCACAACTGGTTACCTCCTCCAGAAAATGCCATAAAGCTTAACTTCGATGGCTGTTCCCTGGGAAACCTAGGCCCTCAGGAGTAGGGGGAGTCTTCCGCGACCACAATCGAAATGTTCTCTTGACATACTCAGAATATGTTGGACACGGAGATTCACAGTTTGCCGAAGCATTGGCTCTCCTAACGGGTCTTAAATGTTTTAATCCATCTTGGGGCCAATCCTTAGTGGTGGAAGGAGACGTAAAAAATATTATTTCATGGGCAGCAGGCACCACTACCCCTCCTTGGTATCTTCTAGAATTTTTTATGAAATTTACCACTTATGCAAGGATACCAACGTCTGTTGGAGGCATACATGGTGGACGTCGAACGAGTTCACCGACCTTCTAGCTAAAGATGGTGCGCGACGACGACCACACTTGAAAGATAACGAATGGTCCACCTCCTTTTTTGCACTGGACCATCGAGGTCTTCTAGGACACCAGGTTTTTGGGTTGTTGCTTTTTGTAACAAGGAGTGTTTATAAGCCCATTTTTTGTGACCTCAATCTTTTGGTTACAGCCACTTCAAAAGGATATAGATTGTATAGGGTTAATGGCTTAATTTTTTGACTGAGATACCTGTCTCGTGGGTATTCTCGGTCCTCTCTTCTCTCTATCTGCTGTATTCCTTCATCTTATGTAGTAATACAATGTTAACATTATTAAAAAAAAAAATATATATGAAATTTAAAGTTCCAGAAATGGTGATGATCAAGCACATCTATAAACATTTGAAAATCTTGAAAATGGACGGTCCATGTAATGTGTTAGAAGATGAACTATTTTTAGGACTAGAAATCCCCTTTATTTCATGTCTATGAATCTCAAGGTCGAGATGATCTATGTGAGGGTTTTCGAGCATAGGAATAACCTTCTCAAGTGGGTTTTTTATGTGCACCTTACTCGTACAGTATAAAGTTGACACCTTATATAAACTGTCTCCAAATTGAGAGACACATAGAAGACCTCGGCAGAGTTATACAACAATATTTATAAGATCGAATTAGTAGATTACGAGAAGAGGAACAAGAACATGAAGAGGTAAATATCAGTGCAAAAGATGTTGAAAATTCTGAAAACGAAGATATGTTAGTCGTATGTGAAATACAACCTCTTGAGCTTAAAGGAGAAATCAATATTAAGTCGGGTATTCCAGATGCCTATTATGAGCCGGATATCGAGTGTTTCATCAATTGTTTTATTGAAGAAGAAAAAGTACCAAGACTAATGGTTGGACTCTATTACCGACTTTTGAGAAGGCCTATAAACATATGAATTTGACAAGCTCGAGATCAAGCTTCTTCCAACCCTGGAGAATGATGAAGTGAGTTTCTTTAATTTTTTTTATTGTTTTAATTTTAAATGATAGATTTAGGGTTATTTTTGTCTTTTCTTCCTTGTAGTTTACAAGGCAAAATGGGAAATTTTCTATGGGAGTTAGTTAAGTTATTTGTTTAAGATTTTAATGCAGAATATAGTTTCCATTTTTGTGGGAGTTGAGATTGTCATCTCTTAATGGGTTGATAAGCATTAAGAAAGAAAAAATAAGAAGAGATTATGAAGTGCGTAGAGATGGGTAGGGGCTTCCTAAGTTTATGGGTTTCAAGTGATGAAATGAGAGAGAAAAATAATAACATGGGAGTTAGGGAGAGACAAATGTGGGAGGGATAGTTTTGTTGGGGTTTTATTTTTTATTCCTTTTAATGTGTACTTAAAGAGAAGGTCCCTTCTTTTTAAAGATCGTGGATTGAGTAAAGAATTTGGGCTTGTGAAAAGATCTCTAGGGTGGACTCCCTTGCAGACCCTGAGAGAGGGTATAATCTGTCAAGCCTTTTATTTTTATTTTTTTTATGTTTATCATTTTTTCCCTGCATCACTTGCGCTTAAAGGGGGGCACTATAATCCACATTATGGGATTGTGGTTCTATTGTTTATTGGCCAGTTTTGACAAGCCAAGCATGAGCCCCTACATGAGACTGTAGGTCATTGGTTTTGTTGGGTTGGTTTAAGAAGATTATTGTGAATCATGGTCGCTGGATCGGGTGGAGTGCTCTTATAATCACTTGGTTTTGACCCCTTGGCACCAACCCACTTCTAAATATTTTACTTCCAGTTACAAATATTTTTGTGAATTTTTTAACCTTTTCAGAATTTTCAAAATTATTTTTGCTATAATTTCCTTAAAAATGGTATTTTTGAAATTATATGAGTAAGGAAGGGCACATATGGGGCCCCTAGATCTAGCCCCACATGAATGCCACACCCCATAGGTGGCGTGTGGGCCCATAGGAGCCACATGTCACCCATAGAGGTGGCAAACCCCCCTTCTTTATTCTTCTTGTTCTTGTTTTAATTAAAATTTCGTTAAGTATGTTTGATTAGATAATCTTTTTAAAGAGAAATATTATGTGCGCCTATTTTTGTGTGCGTCAGTTCTGACCAACAAATATTATTTTGACTTCCTACAGTTATAGATAAATTAGGAAGTTCTAGAAGATTTATAAATTGGTCTATTCCTAAGCAAACTAGAAGTCGATATGGATCAAATATTAAGGGGATAAACTTCCTAATATGTTTTCCTAAATCACGATGGTTGATTTTTGGGATGGATGGCTCTGCTCTATCACCTCACAGATTTACTAATTTCCTATTGGTAAAGGTGAGTCACTAAATATGCATACCTAGGGGGGTCTTGAGGTCTATATAAGGAGGTGTACCCCCTTTCATTACACACACACACAACAAAAAAAAAGAAAGAAAAAGGAGCCTCTCCTAATTTTGTCACTGGACGCTCGAATTCTCCTCTCTCTCATATGTATAGTGCCCATGCCCATCTCTCTCCTCTCTCTCACCATTAGTGGCATGCCAGCCATAGACAAATTAAAGAGGGTGGCACCCCTAACCCTAATCAAGGTTTTGTAGAGGTAGGACCAGTATCATCATCATCATCATCATCATCATCATCATCATCATTTTAGCCTTTTCCCAATTAATTGGAGTCCGCTACATAAATCTTGGTTCTCCATTATGCTCTATTAAAGGTCATATCCTCAGTGAGGCCATAAGTCCCATATCTAACCCAAGAAAAAGGGAGGTGCCTTTTTTAGGCATTCCTTAGTTGTGTTTCTATGCTCTCTAAAACCCTAATTTATGAGTTATTGCCTAAGGAAGCTTCCCGCCTCTGAAAAATCAGCAAGACCAATAGGATTGAAGTGCACCATTGGTCAGGAAATTAGTATGGGGTGTACTAAATCCTATGGGGGTAGTAAGCATAATCGAGTAAGTCGTTCCAGCTGTTTATTTTTGTTATTTAGTCATATATTTCCATATTTACTGTGATTTTTCAATAACAATATTTGCACTCAAATTGATAGTAGAAGCTTGATTTTTATTCCTGGATTGTATTTATTTATCTTGATATTAAAAAGAAAGGTCCTAAATTGTATATAGGGCTTTAATTTTCTTTTACAGCAGTGTTTGTGGCACTTGTAAGTGGAATTCAGATTCAATAGTAAAGATAAAGAAGAAAATTTTTTATTTCATAGCCTTGAATTCCACATTGCCACTTCTTTCATTATTGTTGTCCAATTCTGTTAATTGACAAAGATCATCTCAGATACAATTGAAACCTATATTTTATTTACATGCTATTCTTTTGAACAATACTTAGGACAAGAGTTCAGCTCCCATTGACTAATCAAACAAGGGATATGATTGGAAAACAAAAGATTTGGGGTGTACCTCAAATCTAGTTTTGTCCAAAATCTGGAGATCCATTGTAACTGCAATTCACAAAAAACAAATGATATTATCTTATTGTTTTTGAAGGTTCAAGAATCCATGCATTTTAAATGACCAAGTAGAGTCAAATATAGTTTATTGGAGTTCCCCAATGAAAGTTAATAATCATGAAGAATGAGGCATGTACACATAGGCTGCATGCCGCGAAGCTATTAACAGGTGGGTGTTTGACACCTTGAGAGTCCCGTACAATAATGAGAAACAATATGAGACTTTGGTCAGGAAAAATTTTGTATTAAGGATAAAAAATTAATACCACAACGATAAGAATCATAGAAAAATACAACTTTAACCTTGTCCTGTAAAAAAAGTATCGGCAGGTAACACAGTTTATGCAAACAAAAAATAAAAACTCAAAGCCTATTCATGCTTCAAATTTTCATTATGTAATAGCAAACTTGACACATTTCCAGCCTACCCTTGTTCAGTTAAATTCTTGGAAATACCTGAAAAGCAAAGGTTTCTGTATCATTGCCATGGATTTTTTCAAGCCATAACATTTGAGTTCAAATTGCATTCACTGGTGAGACTCTGAAGAGTACACGAATTTGTTTCCAAATTTACACAACTTTCTGCTTAACATGTGTTGGAGAGGCAGGAAGAGATTCAAAATTTCAAGAAAACCATAAATTGTTTAAAAATAAAGAAAGCCATACTACAAGAGGCGGAAAACGATTTCTTCAAATAGAATCTATAACAAGAAACCCACAATATTATAAACGAAGAGGAAACACTCAACCAGGTTAGGTTTGTGAAAATGGCAAATGTCTTTCCCTTAACTGTTAACTTCTTTTTTTTTTGTTATCTAGTTGCACTGATATTCACATAGCTGCCATGAGTAGAACCAGCAGCCTCCAGCGCTCCCATCCTCTGAGATGGAACGACATTTATAACTTGTATCCCAAACCCATCCCCCACCCAGGCTCTTGCGCTCAGGGTATCCTCTCCCTCCACACTCTAAACCCTCCTTCTTCACTACCCTATAAGCCAAACGCCTCTGCCAAACCTCTTCCTCAACAAATTTCCTACGCACAGGTTGTTGCTTGCTCACAAAGAAGCCCCGTAAGTCAGGAGGTGCCTCTGGTTAATCTTTCCCTCTCATCCTCTCCCTCAACCCGCTCGCACTCTCCAAGGTTTTCCTCCCCTCCAACTTCTCCTTTCCTCCCTTTCGTTATCCCTTCCCTTACAGAGGAGGCTGCGGCTAACAGATCTAAACTTTTGGCGTTGTTAGTAGGGAGGTTCAAACCTGTTCGTGATGACCAAAGAGGAATAGAAAGCTGGGCAAAAAAAATATTAAAGGAGCCAAACCTAACTTGCAGATGTCTGTCAAGTGGCGATTTCCTCATCTCGTTTCCTTCTTTAGCAGAAGCCCACCATGCCTTACAGGAAGCAAAAAACTTATCATTTGAAGGGGCCTCGTGCATCCTTCGGCCTTGGTCGCCAAAAGAAGGCTCTTACAGGAAACAAAGAGTTTGGCTAACCCTAAAACACATCCCCCTTCACGCATGGTCTCCTGAGACCTTTCGGAGAGTGGCAGCAGCCTGTGGCACTTTGTTCTCCATTCATTGGATATTCCTAGAAACTTTACCGCTGGGCTCAATTCGACTTCTCCTGGAGGTCTTAGACACAAGTCGGATTCCAAAAACCATTTGGTTAGAGGTGGAAGACCTCAACTACCCAATTTGTGTATCGTGGGAGCAGGCCTCTCCCCCCTCTGCTCATTTTCTCCCAATTGTAGTCCCTGCGCATTGACCGAAAAATCTTTCAGAGCCCTAGACTGAGGTGATCAAGAAAAAATGGTACCGCAAAAGGCGTCGCTGGCATCCGCCCGACCCGGCCTAGGATAAGGTGAGACTCCTGGAACAACATGCACGGACGAAGCTTTGCTGGCGTCCACGTGTCCAGCATCCCAACCTACCCAAGTCCAAGACCCCGCAGAGACTCAATGACCCAAACCTCATCGTTAACGACATGACCGAGTCTTCTCCAGCTGTCCTTTCTTCCCCCTGAAAACGACCAGGTAAATAGGTATGGGTCTATGCTACTCCTTCTCCTCCCCCTTCGGCCCTATGGATAGACCTGACCCGTCTTCCTTGACATCCCCTCTTCTCTCTCCCACCGCCTCAAGTTTTCAACTCTCCTCATTATTGCCTCCCTATACCTCCTCCGCTTCTCCTCCACGTGTCCCCTCGAGCCTGGCAACTCTCCTCTCGAGCAGACCGCGCTGTCTTCACCTTCTCAACATGTGGCATTATCATTTCCCCCCTCTTTCATGCCCCCACATGCCCGCCAACTCTTCTCTCGGGCAGCCTTCACCGCCTTCACCCTCCCTCCACTTGTCCCTGTCCTCCTCCCTTTCTGCCTCTTCCATGACTGCTGCCAACCCGCCACCTTTGACGTCCCTACCCCATCCTCGTTCATCTTCTCTCCCCTCCCTGTCGGAGCCTGACAAAGAGGACTTCTTGCTGTCCACTCCCCTTGACAGAAAGGACACCCTGCCGCCCACTCCCCCTGACGGAAAGGATACCCGGCCGCCCACTCCCCCAGACAAAAAGGACACCCCACCACCTTTCCCTCCTTCTCTCCCGCCTTTTTCTGTCTTTCTCTCACCTTCCTTTTCTCCTACCTCATCCCACGTGTCAAATCTTGGAGACCCCCCTACCCTCCCCTCTCCTGATGAGGGAGACACTTTGACTTCCCCTCCGGCCATACTCCCAGAACCTCAGCCTATCCTGAATCACTGCCCCGCCTTTCCCCCCTTCGTCTCTTCCCCTTGCCTTTTCCTCTACAACCCTCCCTCGCTCAACCCACCTCTCTTTGCCAGTGGCCCTAAAACCTTCATCTCCCCTTTCCCCGCAGCCGGTCCCTTGTCCCTCTTCTACTCATTTCTCCCTGCATTTCTTCCCTCTTAACCTAGAAGCAGTCCTCAAACCACCCCCGGGAATTTTTTTTCCTATTAGCCTTGCCCTCAACCGGTCAACAGACAGTGACCCTATTCCTCTGGGCTTAGTTACTGTCCATACCATGGACCTACCCCCTCCACACCCTACTTCCATTGCCAACTTGTTGGTCCCTCACCTTTCATTCACCCCTCACCTGGTTCAAGTCCACAATGTGCATACCCTTCATGTGGCCTGGCCCCCTCCACTCCTATGACGTTCTCCTCTTTTTCCTCCATTCAAACGTTTCATTACATCACCTACCTTCCCTCCCATCACGGTAAACCCCCCCCCCCCCCCCCTTCCCCCCTTTTCTCTTGATACCCCAGTACCAGTTGCATCTCCCCCACAACCTCTTGCCACCCCTACCAGCAACCCTAACCTGGCTCAACTTTCACAATCTCTCAATCCCCTCCCCTTACTTCCTCATGACCTGTACCCCACAAACTCTCCCCTGGCGGATCCAGAAACAGAGCCCCCCTGAGACACCTTCGGCTCTCATCTCTCCCCCTCTCGCGTGCGAAGCTATAGAGGAGGTCGAAGGGGCTGGGACTAACAAGGACGAGCAAAGGATGAACGAGATGTATAGATTAATGGGGTTCGAATATGAAGGACCCGAAGGACCAGCTCACAGATTCTTAACAGCAGATGCTCAGAGCAAGATGCAGGTGAGATTTAGAGGTCTGAGAGAGCTTTGCAACCTATTTTCCTCAATTCCCTTTGAGGGACAGCCAGCAGACAGCCTCCTCACTATCTTCAACTCAACTTCTCTGAGGTGGTCCCCCAAATTGGACTCCACCTCTTTGCGCAGCCTTCAAAAATGAAGTTGCTTGTTTGGAATGTTAGAGGGCTGGGACAACCTTCCAAGAAGGAGGTGGTCAAGGACCTAACATCTAAACTTTCTCCTGCAGTTCTGGCACTCATCGAAACCAAACAACTTGAGCCTGATCTCCAACTCATTCGCCAGGTTTGGGGTAAAAGACCTTGCCAATGGGTCTCCCTACCAGCGAATGGGGCCTCAGGAGGCATTTGGATTGTTTGGAACTCCTCTGATCACATTTTGAACTCCTCCCATATAGGGGACTTCTCTGTCACTGTTCTCCTAACTAGCATCCCAAATGGGATCCCATGGAAATTCACGGCTGTCTATGGTCCAAACTCACCAATTCTAAGAAATAGGCTTTGGTCAGAGTTGGATCTGGTAGCGTCCCTTCCTCACCCCATTTGGTGTTAGGGAGGAGACTTTAATGTTATCCGTTGGTCCTATGAGAGAAACTCCTCTACATCCATCTCCCAAGGAATGAAGGACTTCTCTGATTTCATTAGCCGGAATGAACTTTTGGACATTCCAATTCAAAGTAGTCGGTTTACATGGTCCAACCACGCTGCCAACCCCACCCTCTCTAAACTAGATAGGTTCCTCCTCTCTCTGAATTGGGAAGAACACTTTCCGAGACTTTGGCTATAGCTCTACCCAAACCCATTTCCAAGACCCTTCATAGTTAAACGCCTCTAGCTACAAGAGGAGTCCTTACACTCCCTCATCCAAAATTGGTGGAATCCGTATTCTTCCCTCGTCTCAGGTAGCGTTGGTTACATTCTTCAGACCAAAATCCAACTCCTCAAAGCCTCCCTCAAGTCTTGGAGTAGGTCTATCCCTAACAACTTCTCCCAACAAAAATCCTCGTTGCTGAATACCATTAAAAAACTTGATCGTCTCGAGAAGTCTAGACCTCTGAACGCCTCTAAGCTCGATCTCAGAACCAAGACAAAACTGGAATACCTTTCCACTCTCAAAAAAGAAGCGATATATTGGTTCCAGAGATCAAGAGTTAAGTAATTAAAAGCGGGAGATCTAAACACCGCATTTTTTCATCGGATAGCCAATTGTCGAAGGAGAGACAATTCTATCTCGATGATCAAAAACAACAATTGCTACTTAACTCAACTAGAAGAAATCGAACAAGCCATGGTAGAGTTATACAAATCCCTATACACAACCCCATCTGGTCCCAGACCCAAAATGCCATCCCTCGACTTCTTGACCCTCACTAAAGATAGACCTGTCTGGCTACAACGTCCATTCTCAGAAGTAGAGATCAAAAGATAAAGCCCCTGGTCTCGATGGCTTCCCGATTGCACCTTTTAAGGCCTTCTGGGAACGTCCTGATTTCATAAATTTCTTTGAGGAATTCTTTATTCGGGGAAAACTCCATAGAGCAATAAAAGCCACATTTTTAGCCTTAGTTCCCAAAGTGGAAGGGGCTGAGGAGATCAAGGACTTCTGTCCAATCAGCCCTCTAAACTCAACCTTCAAAATTCTTGCCAAAGTCCTAGCATCAAGGCTTCAACAAGTCCTCCCCTCCATCATTTCTTCATCCCAAACTGCCTTCATCAAAGACAGACAGATCCTTGACAGAGCTTTAATGGCTCACGAGTGCATCCACACAAGATACCTGGATAACAAGCCCGGTCTCATATTCAAAATAGATTGGGAAGAAGCCTATGACCACGTCGACTGGTCAATCCTAGAGGAGTCCATGGCCAGAATGGGCTTCCGAAATCGTTAGAGGATGTGGATGAGAGGGTGCTACTCCCACCCTCACTTCTCTATCCTAATCAACGGTACCCCAAAAGGTTTCTTTCCATCCTCAAGAGGTCTTCGTCAGGGAGACCCCCTCTCCCCCTTCCTGTTTGCCATCGCTGCAGAAGTTTTCAGTCGCTCTATTTCACGGGTGTTCCAGGCAGGACTACTCTCTAGCTTCAAGAGCAGTAGACACGGCCCAACCGTGTCCCATCTGCAATATGCAGACGAAACTTTGGTGTTCCTTGACGCTTCTCCAAGTGAAGTGGACACTCTAAACCTCTTCCTAAAATGCTTCCAAACAGCAACAAGATTCAAAGTCAACATGGAAAAATAAAAAATGATGGGAGCAGCTATATCAAATGCAGCGATAAGAGCACTTATTCCAAACTGAGAATGTGAAGTGGAGGATCTCCCTACCACCTATCTAGGACTTCCTCTTGGACTGGGTAAACCCAAGAAAAGACAATGGTCTCAAGTCCTAGATAAGGTTGATAGACGCTCGGCACGAGGAAAGAGCAGATTCCTCTCAATGGCAGGGAGAACAACCTTGATAAAAGCCACCCTATCAAACACCCCAGTACATCTCATGTCCCTCTTCCATATGCTAGCTCAAGTGACAAATCGCTTGGACCAACTCATGCGAAATTTCCTATGGTCGGGGCAGGCTGAGAAGACAAAATTCCATCTCATAGCATGGGATAACATTTGTCTTCCAAAAAACCAGGGAGGCCTAGGAATCAAGGTACTCAGAAAACATAACCTCGCTCTTTTAGGAAAGTGGTGATCGCATCTGGCAACCCAGCCTGACTCCCTTTGGGCTCAAGTCCTAAGGAACAAGTACAGGGTACCTTAAGGAGTTTGGGTGCCAGAGAAGACCCAAAGGCATAACGCCTCAAGAGCTTGGAAATCCTTTTCCTCGGCCCTGCCCTACTTCAAAAACATGCATTAGATTCCACTCTAGAGATGGATCTAGTGTGAAATTCTGGTCAGACTTATGGATAGGAACATCACCCCTACGGGAAGTGTTCCCTGCACTCTACTCGCTGCCCATAAACAAAGAATCATCAATAGCTGAGGAAATGGTTTTATCAGGGGAACAAAGAGTCTGGAATCCATCTTTTCGAAGGAACCTAACAGAAGAGGAGATCAACCAATTTCAATTGCTCATGACAGGCCTTCACTCTCTCTTCATTCCTAACCGAGGGAGAGATGCTATAGTCTGGACACCTACTCCTTCTGGTAAGTTCTCCGTTGCCTCCTTTTATAAAATTCTAACGCAGCCTCCCACCTTTCCGGGGAATCCCACTTTGGTAGTATCGAAAGTTTGGTCAACCATCGCCCCACCTAAGGTCCAAACCTTCAACTGGCTAGCCTGCTCCCATGGAGCCCTCACTACAGACCACCTCCAAAAGAGAGGGATTCCTATCCCCAATAGATGTGCGTTATGCCAAAAAGAGGAGTCAAATCCCCACTTATTCATACACTCTGACTTCTCGTTTGAACTTTGGGGCAAAATATTGCAACTCTTTGGCATCGAATGGGTCACCCCTCCTTCTGTCAAAGCGCTCATCGCTTATGATCTACATTCTCAATGGCCGAAGGCTGGAAGAGTCTTGTGGAAGGCAACCTTAGCGGCAACTATATAGACCATTTGGGTGGAAAGAAACAAAAGAATCTTCCAAGGTTCAAAACTACAAGTCTCAACACTCCTACACAAGGTAACTTCCATGGTCACATTCTGGGGCCTCGAACCACAAGTTCTACTTGGGCATACCAAGGAGTTTGTTCTTCCCCCAATGGAAAAATATCCTCTACCACCAACGGCGACAGCCACAAAGAACCAACAATTGGCAACTACCACCAGAAGGAACCATCAAGCTAAATTTCGATGGTTGCTCCATCGGGAATCCGGGCCCGACAGGGGCTGGGGGGGTCTTTAGAGACTATCAATGCAATGTACTCACATTCTCAGAGCATCTTGGCATCAAGGATGCGCATAAATGGAAAAATACCCTCTACCACCAACCACGACAGCCACAAGACACAATGCACACACAGAGACCATCAAGCTAAATTTCGATGGTTAGCTCCTCGGGAATCCTGGCCCGGCAGGGGCTGGGGGGTCTTTAGAGACTATCAATGCAATGTACTCACATTCTCAGAGCATCTTGGCATCAAGGATGCGCATAAATGGAAAAATACCCTCTACCACCAACCACGACAGCCACAAAGAACCAACAATTGGCAACCACCACCAGAAGGAACCATCAAGCTAAATTTCGATGGTTGCTCCCTCGGGAATCCTGGCCCGGCAGGGGCTGGGGGGGTCTTTAGAGACCATCAATGCAATGTACTCCTTACATTCTCAGACCATCTTGGCATCAAGGATGCACATAACGCAAAAGCCTTGGCCCTCCTACAAGGCCTGAAAAGGTTCAACCGTTCTTGGGGCTTACACCTCATCATAAAAGGAGATTCAAAAAACATTCTCTCCTGGGCAAATAAGACTACCTCTCCGCCAAGGTACCTAACCACTATCTTTGATGAAATTGACCATACTTGCAGGGATATGGACGTCTCTTGGACGCATATATGGAGGATGTCCAATGACTACACAGATCTCTTGGCGAAAGAGGGAGCTCGTATGTGAGTAGAAGATCAAGCCGGGGTCGACACCTTTTTTGCACAAGACCTTTGGTACAGCTCATCAACATAGAGTATAAGCTGGCAATGTTAGGCGTTCTGTAATTTTTGCAATTTTTGAAAGTTTCATGTAAATCCTTGAATTCAAGTGGAATCTATAAGCCCTTTTTGTATATGATAAGCTGACGGTTTTTTACCGAGCCACCCCTAGCGGGTGAACTAACTCGAACTTACCAATACTTGTACTCATCGCTTTCAGTAATACAAATGTTAACTCTCTCCAAAAAAAAACCTTTTTATTTTTTTTTGTACTATGTCATAGGGCATGAAAAGCAACGGGGCATGTCTCCGCTGTTGTACAAAGAAGGCATTGTTGATCAGGAGTCATGTGCGAGCCAACTTATCTAACTTCTTAAGTTAGTGACATAGTCAGGGCTTTTATCTTTTTCTTTTTTTATATATTATTTGTTTAAGAGACTGAAATTGGTATTATTTGGTTGTTTATTTTAAAAAAGTATTTTTGTCTTTTTGGGTGTAGATATTTGTGCAGTGGAGTTGGAAATTTAATTTGGAGAAGATGAAGGGTTACTATTTACTATTAATTAGGGTTTTTTGTGGAGATTTTAAGATGTTTGTTATAAATATTAAGTGTTCGACCAGGAGAGAGAAGAATTGATTTTCCGTCTTGTTGTTGGGGTAGACTCCCTTACAAACCTAAAGAAAGTGCCAAATCTTTAACTTTAGGGTGGATTCCCTTGCAGGCTCTTAGAGAGAGCACAAGCTCTACCCTTTTTATTTTTCTAGTTTGTTTTATTTTCTTTTTCCCTCTTTCTTGCATCAGTTAGGGGGTGTTTTAGAAATTAAATCAGACCTGTTAGGTTTGGGATTTCTACATAGGGCTCATCATCTCCTTAACATGACCATTCCATATTGTTCCTACATCAATCAAATTTGGTATCTTTACCAAAACCTAAAAGGACTTTGTGAGTACCATCAGCAAGAACAAGTAACCTGAGTCAAGGGTCTAGGAGCCTACAAAGGGCGGAGCTTCTTCAAGATGAGGATCAGGAGATGAAAATTGCACTTGGGAATAAGCCTTAAAGGATGTGGTAATGGTCAGAAGAATTCAGTTAAGGGTTCTCAAGGTTTCAGACTTCTTCATTTCTTGCTTGGCACCAACTTTGCATGTTATAATCCATGAACTTTATTAGCTTTCATGAAGTTTTGTTTCACTTATCATGAAAAAGAAAACAATAACCAGAGACTACTAGTTTTTTCTTAGAAAGCAATAACTTTCATGGCCTAAGAACCATACTGAAGAAAGTCCTATTGTAAAGGCATATATAGATGTATCAAGAAAGAATAACCTTACGTTGAACTGAACACCATATGTATAATGCCTCAGCAACAATAAATCCAAGTAAAAGAACCATAAATAGATGATGATTTTTTTCACCTGCACAAAGTAAATGAACATAGACGCATATTAAAACCTTGAGAAGTATAAGTAACATCATAAGAGGCATTAACTGGTTCAGAACACGGCTCACAAATTGGCAATAAGAAGCTTTCTCAGTAACTACTGATTAAAACACCCTGATTCCTAAAACCAAAAAATATGGCAGATGCACATTATGACTCTTTCTAAACTTAGTTTTGCCATTTTTATGGAGAAACAAACATTTTTAGAAGTTCATGAAGCAACTCCAGGCAAATTGTTGAAGGAAATTTTTGACAGGTTTGCTGAGAATTGTTAAAAGAAATGTTTTAACAGGTTTAACAAAGGATACTAGTTTTCTAGTGATATGATGCCTCAGAAAGCATGGCCAACAAATTACACGCATCATTGCCAATTTATCGCGAAATCATTTCCAAGGAGCTTTGAGCTACAGATCTAAAAAAGCAGATACTGAAATGGATTTGAAAACTTTCAAAAATGCAGGCTGTAATATGAAATCATATATCGATGTAGGAGCAAATAAGTAACACAAAGCATTGTAGATTGTTGAGCCTCGCTCTTTTGAGAATGAATAGTGTTAAGTAGTTTGTGTTTTGATAATTGTTTCTGAGGCATTTTAACAAGAAGAACCAAGTGATATTGGAAAATGAATATCGTTAGATTGTGTTTCGACTTTTGTTTCTAAGGCATCTTAGCAACAAGAACCAAGTGATAAAGGCCACAACGGTTGATCCCAGGTATCGATACCATCGATACTTAATATTCTTATGGGAAGTTGCATTAATTTTACATAGCCCCAACTGAAATACATATAAATAGCTCTTTCAAATGAATGCAGGGGCTTTTAATTGCTTCACCTCTTTCTCTATAAGCAAAACATGGCAAAAACTTGCACCCGAGATGTAAGTGTACCTATACAATTTCCAAAAGCAGGGCAGTGGTGGTCAAGGCCCCAGATATGTGCCTCACACCTCTTACAGTATCTTACACGCAAGGAACAATGGGTGCCCTGTAAATGAGACACAACACATTAGGATCAGAACAGTGAGCAATTAATTACTTAAACAATTATTTTCTGAATAAGTTTGAAAAAACCACACAGATTTCGACTGCGACATTTAATATTTGCGGAAATAAATTAAATTTATTTAAATACAAATACTTAAAGGGGGTTGGTCTTCTCACCCAATTTTTCGATATGGCTACTCAAAGCATGTGGAATTGTTTTAGTAGTGCCACTAATGTTTTGGCTGGGAATAGTAAAACGTGAGAGAGACGAGCAACCCCTTAACGAAAATAAATATTAACTACAAGAAAAATCACTTAAACATACTTCTCAGTCTACAATAGTAACAAAAAACACCTTCTCAAACTCTAAATAGTCATTCACACATCAAATAAAGTTGATGCATTGGTAGAACATATGGATTACTTATACAATTTAGACATCAAAGTAAAAGACAAAAACATAAACATAATAGAAAAATTATCCTAATAATTAGAAAACCCATACAAATAAGTGGCACTCTGTTGGACAACAAACAAAGTTCAAACTACAGCAGATTAACAAGCAATCCAGTTGAACAAAAAATAAAAGAACCCTCACAAAGAAACAAATTGCAGAGGACTAATCCGCAGCTCCTAAATTCAATCAAATGAACTGCAACTCCATGGCATGGTTAGTGTACAAATTCATCTCAGTATATTCTCTCCCCAAGATACAATAAATCATTCAAGTTTAATTTTATCAAAAAATCTTACCAAAAGTTTCGGTTGGAGACTTTGGAAACCTGCAACACATTTGTTTTTTCATAATATCAGAACCCAATAATGACTCTGCCAGAAACTAAGGGAAATGAATCCCAATCATCCATCCCATGCCAGACCATGCTGTCTAAAACGGATTATGATGGTAATAAATATTGAGCCCTTGCATTGGCTACTATTGCAAAACAAATACCTGGGATACTAAGTGTGCCAATTCATCTGTTCTGTTCGTCATTGCACTTGGAATAGCTTTAAACATCCACTGGATCCTTATTGGTCACAGAGCTCTGATCTCTCTCAGTAGTCTTCCCCAAAAATTCCCCCTTTATTGTTCCTATTTCTTGGTGACATGGTCATCATGACATCCATCATTTCTTTTTCAAATATCCTCCTAGTCTTTTCAACCAATGGAATTCCCCTTTTATCTTATGCAACAAATTCTCCTCCAAGAACCCTATTACTGAAACTAAAAGTTTAAGTCCTTTGTAAGGTGTGAGATTGTCAGATATTGGCCAACTCTTGCCTGATAAAAGCCCAAGCCTTGGTAGAAGTGAGAAATTCACTTAAGATGCTTCTCCAAGTTAAGCCTTATTGAGGGTGACTCACTGCATGTAATATGATGACGTAAGGTCAATAAATAAACCCATGGAGAATCTCTAGGATCTCAACAGAAACATCCAAGTTCTTTTCTTTGTCCTTACCAATAGATTTTACATATCCGGAGATAAATGAGGAAGTAGACTATGAAATGTTGCTAAATTAGGTTAGTGTTAGGGTCATAGGGTTTTAACTAAGGTTCCTTCTAAGCTTGAATGTTCTAGGTTCCAAACCTACAGAATACTACAATCTTTGGATAGTAAATTAGAATCTAGTACATGAATCCATCTGTCCTAAGATTCCAAAGTTGGATCTTGAGCATTAGGATATTCCTCATAAATTGAAGTTGTTAACTGTAAATGTAAAGAATATTAACATCATGAACAGAGAAATTATCCTTGGTCTCTCAAAGCCCAACAAGCGGTAGGCGTTTTACCAAAACATTGGAAAAGTATACCCAAATATTTAAAGATGAAATAAAATAAATAAAACCCAAGAATTCAATAATTAATTTGAACAAAAAAACTCTAAAACACTGACCATTACATGTCTTAATCCAAAAGGATAGATTACTATCACAATCCTCCATAGATTTGGGAGGAGTCGAGAGATGGCACACATTGAAAAAGAGAGAGAGGGAGGCTATTGCTCAAGTAAAGAGGAGAGCAGGAAGAGACAGAAAGAATAATAAATTTAGAAATGGCACCTAGGTTTGAAGAAGCAGATTTTGTTTTTCATCTATTTCCATAAATGCCTTCTTTTTTTCTGCATTCCGAACAAAGAACAAGTAATTTCAAAAGAAGAAAGATACACTATAGGTTTGGAACACAGAATGAGGGTTTTACTTGGCCTAGGGTGACGTAATCATGCAAAGAGACGATTTGGTACCCATAACAACCAACTTCAATAGAAAATAAATAAATCTGGGTTTGGAACGGATAGCAAGGGAGGATAGTTGAATCCTTTGGCTCAAGCAACATTAAGGCAAGCCAACGACAATTATGGCCCCCTTGTTCCGGGTTCCAGACCCATAACAAGCAATTTCAATTTGAAAAAAAGATATGCTCTTGATCTGGAACTCAGATCATGGTTTGTCTAACGAAAAATAAGTCAAGCCAAATGACGGTTATACCCCTGCTTGTTTGGGCTTCCAAACCCAAGACAAGCAATTTCAATAGAAAAGAGATGTTTTGGATTTAGAAAACTTAGCAAGCAATGTTGAAAAAGCCGACTGTCTAGGCGGCGTGGCCGACAATCCGCCTAGGAAGGGGGGTTAGGGCGGGCATGCCCCAGGCAGCCGCCTAGGCGCCTAGGCGGGTTTCGGTGCCAGCCTTGAGCAAACCTCATCAAGTTTTTATTTAAAAAAATTTATGGAAGTCACCTTAGAAACACAAAAAAAGTGTCAATCATTTAAGGCCCTTCTCTTTCCCCCCTCTCACATTATGGGTCCATGTGCTCTCTCTACATATAAGAAGAAAAAGAAGACGGCCTCCATGTGTTTGATCGGAGACCTTTTTATCTCACACACACAAAGGTGCACGGATATGCTCTATCCTTGCATGTAAGAAGAAGAAAAATAAGAAGATGACCTCCAACGGCTTGATGCGAGGTCCCTCCCTCTCTCTCTCTCGAACTTGACATATTAGAAGAAGAAAAAGAATGTCCTCACAGTGTTCAAGACCTCTCTCTCACAAACACAGATCCATATGCTCTGTCTTATTCTACATATAAGATAAGAAAAAAAAAAGATGATCTTCAAGTATTTTATGCGAAGCCTTACACACGTGCACACATAGACATGCACACCCACACATGATCTTTAAGCATTTCATGCAAGCCCTTACACATGCGGCACACACAAACATACACACACAAACACATACGAACAACACACATGTCCCCCCCACTCTAACACCACAGGGCCGCCCAAGTGTATGGGCGCCCGCCTCCACCTTTTTTAACATTGTTAGCAAGGGAGGGTAGTTACACCATGTAGCTCGGACGACTTAAGTCAAGCCAAATGATGGCTATACTCATGCTTTCAATATCAATAGAAGAAAGGATGTTTCTGGGTTGCAAACCCAAACTAGGGAGACAAGTTCTGGCAATTGGGTTGAGTGACTTATGTCGAGCAAAATGACGGTCATAACCCAACTTATGCTCGGTTCAAACTACATAATAGAGGCAATTTGAGCATTTAAAAAGGAACAGTAGTGGAGGAGGTGCCTAGGTGAAAATTTTACAAAGGAAACAATTCATAGGTAAATTGGCTGATTTAACTGGCCATTTTGTTTGACCTTTTTGCTATTAGTTTCCAGAAAAGTATTCATTATCAATAATAACCTCTTCTTCTTCTTCTTTTTTTTAATGTGCAGTTAACTCCTTAAAAGCATAAGATATGGAATCTCCACATGAGAATTCCCTACATTCCTTACTATGGATATTTTACAAGCTACCTTTCTCCTTGGGTCAAATGTATTACACGACATTCTACTTTAAAACTCAAAGGAATAAGATCATCTCCCGAAACAAGCTTATACAAGTTCCATAACATGCTTTACTTCAGAATACCATTTCTCAAGATAAAATCCTCATACAATAATCTTGAAATTATAGAAATCAAGAACATTAGAAGACAAGCATAATCAGCACTCATAGTCTATGCATCAAATATTGCCCCAATATGTTATTATCCATCAACAAAATTTATAGACATGTTTGGGAGAACAAAGACAACTGCAGTAGAAAGGAGAAGTAAAAAACTTGTAGTATACATAAACATGTAGACTGTGCAAATGTCTATCTTGCAATGTAATTAATAATTGAATTCAACAAACATGTTATGTGAGGTAAGTAACGCATGCATATTATAATTGTTAACATCAAATGTGGATTATGTTCAGAAACTACATTTTGATCCAGTCGATCCAAATAAGTTCCATTGCATTTGATAAATCCTGGATCACCAGAAAGCATCCTACAAAGGCGCATAGATCTATTATAAGTTTATAATATAACGACCACACAGTTCAACAGAAGTATCATAAACAGAACTCTTAAGTCACAAAGTAAATAGCATCAAGAAACTAAGGCTATTATCAGTAGAGCATGCAAAGGGCCTCCATGACTTAAATGACATATTACATATGACATCCATGTGGATCCGTTAGACAAAACCGCCATTGACTCATAACAAGATGCTATTATCGATAGCGGAATATGTGAATAAAATTATTTCCCTCATACACAGAAATAAAACTGAAATGATCATAGCCAAGAATCTGGACACAAATAACATATTTGGAAAGAACTTTGCCATGTGAATGGGCCAGGTAAGTCCAAATGACAACATACGCTAATATTTGTATGTCTTTTTTCTCATAATAACATGTAGGAATATGTCATAACGGGGGAGAAATAGGAGATCATGAAGTATATCACTAAAAAAGGGAAAAGTATTTGATGCAAGCAGTGAAAGTTATGTAGGACACTTCAAATCACCGTTGCAGTCAGACGAAAACAATGGATGGTAGGGTGTGTGTAATTCCTCAGCTCAAAGTCCAAAAGCCACAGAAATCCTGCTGTCATCTAATGGAAAAACTTACAATAAAAATTAAGAAAAAAAAATCTAACAGCTGGGGTGATGACAAGTTTCCGACAAAGTCCTTGTTAAGGAACACCTTGGCTGATATGTTCAACATTCAAGTACCATAACTTTCCCCTTCTATATTTCTAATAGGCTGATCCGGCTGAATAAATAAAACATACTAACCTCCAAGAAGTACCATGGGCTAACTTGAAACTCTTCTACATAAAATTCTACTTGAGATGTTCCCAAATTTACCCCTTCAATATTTCTCAACAACCTCATGGCTACTTCATTTTTTTCACAACCATGCAAATTGCTCATGTCCCATCCCCATGTGTTGTTGACTAACAGACATGAGTAATTAGACTTGACATCAGAAAAACACACGACCAGACAATTTTAACTAAACATACCCACCCATAAACTGTGGTGGTGGCATGAATAAGGACAATATGTTTTGATTTTAATATGACTCTCAATCACAATCATCTAATCAAGCTTCACTTCTTGAATGTCTTCTTAATGATTGAGACGACAAGCTACATACATGAACCACCAAAGAATAAAAAAATATTATCCACTCAGATACAATGGAGAAATGTATCCCCAACCATTTTAGATAATATTAGTCAACAGATGACAAAATCATGTGTTTATCATCTATTTCTCATGTACGAACTGACTGAAATATTTACAAGAGGACTTGGATGGAGGGAGTTAGAGGAACCAAGTAGCAAGTTAGTCTACATGATAGTAGAGATATGTATTTGTTTTCTATTAAAATATGTACTTCTCATGAATTACTTACTGGGAAAACCTCACTTATTCCCCCAAAGTTTCTATAAACCTCAAAGTCCAGTTTAATTTTTTTGTTTTGTGTTACACCAAAGTTTTTCCTTTATTTCACAAATGCTAATTGTGCAAAATTTTTGTCATCATTCAAGAATGCTCCATCTTTTCTCCATCCAACCCCCCTCTCCCCGCACCCTCCCTCTCTCTCTCTCTCTCTCTCTCTCTCTCTCTCTCTCTCTCTCTCTCTCTCTCTCTCTCTCTCTCTCTCTCTCTCTCTCTCTCTCTCTACTCTACTCTCTCTCTCGTACTCGTCGTACTCGTACGTACGTTACGTACGTACGTCGTCGTACTACGTACGTACG